TTCGATCAGGAAGTAACCAATAATGCATTGTTTTATAATGTGTATTTTGTGTATCAAGCAATGACATATGTCTTCATATGTAGCATTTCAAGAGTGGGAACTGTTTACCCGAAAACAGCATACCCTCTTGTTTGCTATAGGTGAGAATGGATTTTCGAAAATTTTCACTTTTCGTTCGAGGATTAAAAATAGGCCTCATTTTAGAATTAGAAGACAATAGCAATAGAAGATTGATAGCCTAAAACTGCAATTTCTTCTTTTTACTCTTTTATCATCATTATGGACAACAGGATAGTTTATAATCTTTTGTTTCTTAATTTTACTTTATTTTCATTTCTACCTTTAGTTTCACTTGCCTGACTTTTAATTTGATTCTAATGGAAGTTTCTTATCCTTTTGTATATTCTTATATAATTTATATATTCCTTTCTCCTTCTAGTTTCATTTGCCTATTGCACTCTGCAGTCTTTGGTGGTTTAAAAATCCATTCCTTTTTGCCTTACCTTTATATATCAATATAGGTTATAATTCTGTCACTGATCTACCTCATGATAGCTTTGGTGTAGTTATTCTAATTTTTGTCTTATAGTTATTCTTTCTTTCTCTCTCTTTCCATAGATGTATTTACTGATCCTTTTGACTGTCCTCACAATGGAATGGATGGTGTCATTTTCACTCATCTTTTAACTCCATCGTCTTTTCTTTTGCGCTAAATATATCGCACTGTTCACGTGTTCTTACGTTAGCGGTTACACGTGGTACTGTTCATGCTCTTTTATTGCTGCATTGTTCACGTGCACTGTTTGATACCAGTGACCCAATTCATACATGTTCCTCATATAGGTGACCCAATTCATACATGTACCTCATATAGGTGACCCAATTCATGCATGTTCCCCATACAGGGGACCCAATTATACATGTACCTCATATAGGTGACCCAATTCATACATGTTCCTCATATAGGTGACCCAATTCATACATGTACCTCATATAGGAGACCCAATTTATACATGTTCCTGATATAGGTGACCCAATTCATACATGTACCTCTTATGGGTGACCCCATTCATGCATGTTCCCCATACAGGGGACCCAATTCATACATGTACCTCATATAGGTGACCCAATTCATACATGTACCTCTTATAGGTGACCCAATTCATACATGTACCTCATATAGGTGACCCACATTTATGTTCCCCTAATATAATGAGTGCACTCATGAGGTGGCCCATACATACCCATATATACATAGTTAAGTTATACCAACTCATCATCTACACATCAACACCAAGTTCCTGTTTGAAAGACTCAAGATCTTATACAGTATAGTATCAATATTGTCATGTATTAACCTTTCTTTCTTAAGACTTCAACACCAAGTCCCTGTTTGAAAGATTCAAGATCTTACAGTATAGTATCAATATTGTCATGTATTAACCTTTCTTTCTTAAGACTTTGATACCAAGTTCCTGTTTGAAAGATTCAAGATCTTACAGTATAGTATCAATATTGTCATGTATTAACCTTTCTTTCTTAAGACTTTGATACCAAGTTCCTGTTTGAAAGATTCAAGATCTTACAGTATAGTATCAATATTGTCATGTATTAACCTTTCTTTCTTAAGACTTTGATACCAAGTCCCTGTTTGAAAGATTCAAGATCTTACAGTATAGTATCAATATTGTCATGTATTAACCTTTCTTTCTTAAGACTTTGATACCAAGTTCCTGTTTGAAAGATTCAAGATCTTACAGTATAGTATCAATATTGCCATGTATCTATCTTTCTTTTTTAAAACTTCAATATTAAGTTCCTGTTAAAATTTGAAGCCCATTCAGTTAGTGTTAGTACATATTGTTAACTATCATTATACAGGTTGGGCAGCAATGTAGTGCCGCCTCCACGTGGCGCTGCCTGGGATCACTAGTGGCCACTACTGCTAGTGATGCTAAGAGCACTACAATTTCAAGACCAATGCTGCAATGAATGCAGCTTAATAGAAAGGTTATGATTCCATTATTCATGATTATTAAAATTGTTATTATTCATAGTAGGTGTGGCAAAAAGGCGAGGCCAATTGGTCAACAACTTTCAAGGCTCGCACACTAACAAACCAACTCTTTCTCTTCTTCTAGGACCCTCCGGCTGTAGTTCTATATCTATTCACTTATTTTGTGAGTGTCCTCCTCTATTGATCTAATTTTACCCGCCTTGTATCCCTAGAGTGTCCTCTATACTGCCCCTGTTTGATTCAGGTGGTTTTATACCTACTCCAGTCAGACAGTTTGTCCTACTCTTTATGGCTAGTGCTTCTGTCAATGGCTGGTGTTGACAGCAGCAGGAGGGGAGACTGGGCCAGCAATAGTTCTTTTAACTTTGATGATCAATCACCTGTAGCATCCCCAGTAGCTGGACAAGTAAGATTTAATTTTGTTTGATTCTTTTCTCTCTGATGTGTGGTATATTTATACTCTTCATCTATGTATATGCAGTAAAATGCTCCTTAATTTTTAAAAGACATTATGTGCTAACATCTTGAATCTGCACGTGTATGATACAAAATTTCATCAACTTTTTGCTCCATAAGAATACAGAATGGTAGCCATGATCATTCATCATCATTCATGTTGAAAGTAACTAAATGTCAGTGTCATTTAAACCACCACAGTGACCACACAAGTACACATATACCAGTATTTATGGGCATGTACTATTTAATGGAGGCTATAGTTGCTGTTTATAATGTATCATCAATGTAAAGCTTAATCTGTTAGTTCCTTGTCTTGTATTGTGACTCTAATTCTTCTGCTTATGATTAGTAATGACTTCATAATGTGTACCACTAGTCGCTGAGTGTCACGTTAGGTATTCCCTTAACTTGATAATAGTAGGAGACTGGACTAATGCATGATCACATGGTTGACTTCTGTTTTTATTATCATTTACTCCCTCCCTCTCTCTCTCTCTCTCTTTCTCTCTTTACAGAAGAGAGGCACTCCTCTCACGATGGATGGTGGTGACAGTACAGATGCTGATATCAAAAGGTTCAAAGGTCCTTTGCCTCCATGTCTATCGGAGACGGCCAGGCTAGTCTCCATAGTACATAGACACTAAACAATTGCCAATTCATTTCTTCTAATTTATATTTTAGTTTTATGAGGACATTTTGTAATGCCCCAATTGGTACAAAAGTACCTCTGAAATGAGGACACCTCTAGGTGGTGTGGGCCCAATGGTGTCCTTAATAAAGAGGCTACACTGTACATGTGCTTGTATTTGCTTTGTTTTCAGTGATGATTATGTCTATGAGTAAATGCTTATCCCATGCATGGAATGATATAGAAATGATATCATTTACTGCACCTGCTTCTATTGTGCATGTACCGCCAAATTTTTACATATAAGATCATTAGATATTTGGCATTTATTTCTGCATGTACATGTACTTTCCAGGGGGCATTTACATTTATAATAAAATTCATAATGATAATATTTTCTTATATATACAGTAGCGCCGCAGCCTCATGTACGACAGCTGCTCTTTCTCCCATCAGTACTTGCAGTACCAGTACTTGTGAAGAGGAGATTGAGGAAGTCTCTCCGTTTCTTTCCCCTGCCATTGATGACTGGCTGAGTACCTTCTCTGGCTGGCCTGGAGAGCACAGGAACCAAGCTCTTCAGAAACTGATCAAAATGTAAGCAAGTCTATTTATAATAATTCTTTATTTATAATTATTTCTTTCTTATTTTAGCTGTGATTCTACTCAACTCAAGAATCTCATGGAGAAGATACAGCCCCAGTTTCAGAGGGATTTCATATCACTGCTACCCAGAGAGGTAAGAGAGAGAGAGAGAGAGAAAGGTTGTAAACATGTTGAAAGGAGGATTGACACGTTTTTATTGATGATTAATATTAAAAAGAAAAGCTAGTTAGCGTCTCTACATGATAATAATCCCATCTCTCTCTCTCCTCATTTCCATATTTTCTGCCACACCTTTTTCTCTTCCTCTCACTCTCCTTACCTCTCCCCTCCCTCCCTCCCTCCCTCTCCCTCCCTTCCTCTCTCTCTCTGATGTAGTTATCTCTTCATGTTCTTTCTTACATGTCACCCCGTGATCTGCTAATAGCTGCCCAGACTTGTAGAATGTGGAGGACACTCTGTGATGATATACTGTAAGCTACAGACAGGGCTGCCCCCTCAGTGTTATTTAGTGATAATTTGAAGACTGAGAGTTATGGATTGTGTTACTTTGCACCACCAGTACAAGTACACATAGATAGGATTTGAGGGCACCGTTTAGTACATGTACTTTTATAGACATGATTAGCTGTACAGTCATGTTTTTGTTGCAGTCTCTGTTTGTGTTTGTGTGTTGAGACATTTTGTGTTTAGTAAAGGTTCCATTTATAAGTCATTACAGACCAGTGTAGCTAATGGTAAACATAGAGGAGATGATGATTACTGCAGCATCAGGCCATTACCACATGATGCTGTTTGTGTCCATGCATGCTCATCATTTCATATCATCTATACAATACAATGAGTATGAATGTTGTCTTTATAATGCTGTCTCAGGTTGTATGTACCAGTGTTTATTGATGGTTTCATTTTATCATTTCAGTCTGTGGAAGGAGAAGTGCCAGCAGTGCAATATATCAGAGGCTGTGTATGGTAATGTCGGAAAGAAGAGGACCTGTAGTTTAGTCTACAATCCTTGGAAAGATGTAATGACTCTCATGAGTCCTTAATGATGTGTTGACTAGAAATATCTCTCTCCCTTTCTCTCTCTCTCCCTTTCTCCATCTTTTTGCTGTAGATGTATTTGACAAAACACTGGATTGAGTACAATTGGCGTCATGCTAGTGTACAGGAACATCCACGACTCAAAATTCTCAAAGGCCACGATGACCACGTGGTAACTTAACTTTTAATTTTTATATGTATATATTATCCTTCGTCCCTCCCTCAGGTAACTTGCCTACAGTTCAGTGGTAATAGGATTGTGAGTGGCTCCGACGACACTACTCTTAAGATATGGTCTGCAGTCAATGGAAGAGTATGTACATTATTATATAATGGTGCATGTTCTGTATATATCACATTTTCTCTTCTTTTTCTTATACCAATTTGCTAATCTGTGAATTCCTGAACAATCCTCACTTACAACTAGTGTCATTATTCTTTCTTTCCTCCATTGTTGCTAGTGTTTAAAGACACTCCAGGGGCACACAGGTGGTGTCTGGTGTTCAGAGTTTAATGGTCACGTTGTGGTCAGTGGATCAACAGACAGATCATTAAGGGTATGTACATCCATGTACATATATGCATTATAAGCATCATCCACTCATCTTTACTGCTCTCTCATATTGATGATATCAGCTTCCTTTTAATTAAACTTCCATAGCTTCCATTACATTAATAGATTGTCCATTATTTATCAGTTCAGATCTACACGTCCTTTTTATTTTCTCATTACTTTTGTCCTTTTTTTCTTCTTCTTTCTTAAGGTATGGAATGCTGATACTGGTGAATGTAAATATATTCTTCAAGGACATACTTCCACTGTCAGATGTGTAGCCATGCATAATACAACAGGTCAGACTTATTGTTACATTTTCTGATACACATTGATGTCCTTATGATACATGTACATGTACTTTTAATAATATTTATTTTTTATCAATATTTATTTTAGTTGTAAGTGGTTCACGAGATGCTACCCTAAGAGTCTGGGATGTCGATTCAGGTCAATGCACTACCGTTCTTCAAGGACACTTAGCAGCTGTGAGATGGTGAGTACTTGTACATGTAGTTCATAGTCACTGTACATTAATGTTATAGTAAAGTGTTTATATGCTTTACTGCTGTTTGGTTCTCTTACCCAGTGTTCAATTTGATGGCCAGTATGTTGTCAGTGGCGCTTATGATTTCTTAGTCAAGATATGGGACCCAACGGAAGGAACTTGCCTACATACGCTACAGGGACACACTAACCGGGTCTACTCTTTACTGGTTAGTGAAAGGGATTTTATTCTATAGACAGTTGGTAATTAAATGTAGCCATTTTCACTTGCTGTTTTTTGGACTTATAAACTTTCCAACTGCTAAAGCAGCCTGCTAAGTTTTTCTATTCTTCTAAAATTAGCAAAAATGTGATAATTCTTGTATGCCTCTCCTTCATTTAGTTTGATGGTACCCACGTCGTCAGTGGTTCTTTAGATACGTCCATTAGGGTCTGGGATGTTAAAACTGGCCAATCTATTCACACGCTCGTCGGTTAGTGAACCTAATGAATATCTGATCATGTGATTGTCACATGATTCATTTTCACAGGTCACCAGTCATTGACTAGTGCAATGGAACTGAAAGGGAATATTCTTGTGTCAGGGAATGCTGACTCAACGGTTAAGGTCTGTTGATTCATTGAATAGTAATGATGCCATATTTGCAACATTGTACATGTTCTTATTAAAATTGATAAATGTTAAATGGTGCTTTTATTGATAATACTTTATTCCTCTCTCTCCCCTTCTCCCTACCTCAGGTGTGGGATGTTGCCAGAGGTTATTGCCTCCATACGCTACACGGTCCTCATAAACACGAAAGTGCTGTCACTAGTCTCCAGTTCACGGAGAACTTTGTTGTTACGAGTAGCGACGATGGAAGCGTGAAGCTATGGGACATGAAAACTGGCGAGTTCATTAGAAACCTAGTCTGCCTTGACGGAGGAGGAAACGGTAATAATCTAATAATGATATTGGCAGCTGCACTCTTTGATTGTGTAATTATTAATGAGGAAAGTACCTAATTGGACCACAGATGTGATTTAATTTCAAATTATTTTTCCAGGTGGAGTGGTGTGGCGGGTCAAGTGCAACGAGCATAAGTTAGTTTGTGCAGTTGGGAGTAGAAATGGAATAGAAGACACTAAACTAATGGTGCTGGACTTTGAATGCATATGAAGAACAAACCTCCTCCTCCTATGTCCATATAACATTATTAATATTATTTCAATTATGAAATTAGACTTTATTGTCACTCTGTATAATCTCCTTCAAATTATTGTTAATATTTTCAGTCTCTTTCTCTCTCCTTCTCCTTTCACTAGCTGCTGACAGTGTACATCAACTACCTCTATCATGTATTATTATTATTATTATTATTATTATTATTATTATTGTTATTATTATTGTTAAAATATCATCACTTACAGTGTAACTTTAAAAAACAAAAAATCATAAAAATTAAAAAATACAAGTTATTAAAACCACGCCCAGCTAGTTGAGGGTTAATTATTCATAGAAAGGTCTGTCTTCCTATATCTTCAAAGAGACAATGGAAGTTTATGGTAACGGCTCTAGCGACCTCTCCATCAGTGATCCAGACCTAGAGAGACAACTAGTGGCGCTCAATGAGAACAAAGAGATGGAAGAAGGTAAGAATATAGTAGTCATAGCAGCTGAACTAAGACCAGTCTCTATCAATGTATCGAATGAAACTCGATACATTGATGACACTATGAATTCTATAGTAGTTGTATATACTGGCCTATTGATTCTAGTGCGAGTCATGTAGTGTAAAATAGACCATTAATTATAATAAATGTGAAATGAAAGCTAGCTACATGTAAAATAGAAAACTAAAAGTGATTATATACATACTACATGATTATACACAATATATATATATATATATATATATATATATATATATATATATATATATATATATATACCTGTTCATATTGTTATAGTCTTTGCATTGTACAAGACATTGTATCTAGTTTATTGTTTAAAATGGAGTAGCTCTAATTGTGTAATTATTAGTTCATTCAAGAAAGGTTTCTGTTTATCGCAAATCATGATAAGAATGTACTCATAATGGACTAATTTTATTATTAATTATGCTCCCCCCTCTCTCCCTCCCTCTCCCCCCCTCTCTCTCAGAACTTCATCTAGCAGCAATATTGGGTAAGACACTGCTAGAGAGGAACACAGAGCTAGAGGAACAAGTGAAAAAATTAGAGGAACACATCGATGAGACTTTACTATCAAATCGAGTAAGTGACTTATGTGTTTGTCTTTATGCTTGACAGCAGTACATGTGACACATTGTAATGGAATTCACTAACTTTATCAATGAAGACACTCACTGTATATGGAGGCTTCTTTTGAAGATATAGGAAATGTTGAGAGAGAGAGTGACAGAGTGAATTATTTAGAAAAACATTGTCTGTTTGTCTACATTATCTAAGCCTTCGATATGGCTACAGTACATTGTGGACTAACAGGATGAGGTTGTACTTTACATCATAAAGGATAGAATGTGAAATCATGTCTCAGTACAATAACTGTGTTAATAGCAAGTCCAGGCTACAATTCTGCTGTCCCTTAAGTGTTTTGTACACATACACATACTTGTCTATAATGCTACATTGCCTCTTATAAGCTCTTTGGTTTTTTTTACATTTAAGTTTGGATGTACTTTATTTGTTTATGTCTCAGTTTTACTTAGTGTTTGACAACTATAGCCAGGTATATGAATGGACAGTATAAACATAATTAATGTGTGCGTGTGTGTGTATGTGAATCCCTATTGACGTGTGGATCATCTAATGACTCATTTCATGGTCTGAGTAACTTTAAAAATTCATAAAAAATCCAAATTTGATCAGAACGAGCTCAAACTTTCTACACAACAAGAGTACATGTATATGTATCAGAAAATATTATAAAAATAGAAAATTCTCTACTTTTCATTTTTGGCAAAATTTGGCCAAAATCCCTGTACTATAGTACAGGGACTTTAGCCTAATTTTGGAGCAACTTTAAAAATTCATTAAAAATCCAAATTTGATCAAAACCAGCTCAAACTTTCTACGCAACATAAGTACATGTATATGCATCAAAAAATATTATAAAAATGGAGGATTCTCTACTTTTCATTTTTGGCAAAATTTGGCCAAAATCCCTGTACTATAGTACAGGGACTTTGGCCTGATTTTTGAGTAACTTTAAAAATTCATTAAATTTAAATATGGCGACTCTGCAGTCATTTTTTCAGATATTATTATTGTTAGTAAGGTTGTTATTTATTTATTTATTTATTTAGAATTTAACTACTCAATTATCAAACACTAAGGAAGCATTGAGACAAGCTAATAGCTCATGTGAGAGCTTGGAACAGAAACTGGAAGAGACGGAACGCGAGAACAGAGAACTTAAAACAACGAACTTGAGGCGTCAAGTAACCATCGATTTGAAGACTAAAATCATCAATGACCTTCATGACAGGCTGGAGGGTTTTGAGAGAGAACTGAGCGAAATGAAGACGCTAAAATCAAGAGATGTACCTGATGGTGCCTCAAATAAACCCTCTTCTAATAATGACAGCTGCAGGGACTTGACTCGTCTGAATCACGATGAGTTATTGAAAGAGCATTATGAGATCGTGGAGGATTTATCGATTAAACTTCAAAACACAAACTACCAGAAGAACAAGACACAGACCCTCCTTGACACAGTAAAGACAGAGAATGCTAAACTTTCCGAACTACTTGAAAGGACAGAGCTGGAAAATATCGAACTGCGCAGCCATGTGTCTGCTCTTGAAGAGAAGCTCCTAAACTTGAGTACATCAGAGCCTGTTACTCCTTCTCTCCCTCCCACCAGTCCCCCAAAAACTTTCTTTGCCAGATACCCATCGGAAGAGAGTCCTTCTTTTAGCCGAGTGACAACCCTCCATACGGAACTACTGGTTGATTATCAGACCATGAAGGAGCAGTATGACTACATGGTGTCCAACTGTCGCTGTGAATCCAAATCACATATGAACCTTGAAGATGGAGACACTACTAAAGATGATGTGCAGCGTAGTGGTGTTGATGGTAAAGATAAGAAGAACAAGACCGAAGGAGGTAGTGTTGTTAAGGAGTCGTCTCTTAAAGATTTATTTCAAGAGGTGTACGCAACACTAAAAGCAACTACTGTAGTAGCAGATAGACTGATTGAGAAACGGAATCATAAGTAACGAAACTGGACACCATTTGATGATAGTATATTATTATTATGATTAATGTAATATATATATATAACAATTATTTTAATCATCAGGTATCAAAACTGACATTATTATCAATTAAATGTATTATTATCACCATTATTATTACTGGTATTATTATTATTATTATTATCATTCACGACACATTGATTTATTATGACTATTAATCATTATTATTAATTATTAATTATTATTGTAAGTTATTTCTAATATGGAGACTATTAGTCGTCTGTCGTAATAAAAAATCCTTTTCGCTAATTCATTTTTCACTTCTTTATACAAAAGAGAAGAACCATCTAGAATAATAAAGGACTTTATAAAACAACATAGTTATAATATCTGGTTAGATTCAAGATCAAGCAGGTGGGCAAACTAATAGTTTAATCAACACTCCCTTCCTCTACATGGACATGACAACTGCAGCTGCTAATATTTATAAAAGTATTCTTAATCACCTATTTTTTGCAGAAACTGTGAGTAAGTATCTTCATTACGTATTGTTGATGCAACATAAGCTACTGGTGGTACACGAGCAGGTGAGACTGGTCTGATGATAAAAATGAAATTATTATCATTATTATTATTATTATTATTATTATTATTATTATTGTTTCTATTTCACCTCAGAAGCTTTTCAAGAACATTAATGAACGGATCAATTAGTTCTGTATCATAGATCACATCTGAATATGACAGAAAGAAAATTATATGAACACAGGTACCAGCTCAAATTTTATAAGATAAAGGAACCAATAATGCATCAGAAATGTAATAGAAATTGGGACTGAGGTACAGCTATAAAGGCTAAACATAAATCTTGGCTGACCAGAGGCAAGAACTATGTCAACAGGAGGAAAATCCAGCTGCTCACAAGAATTCCAATCCAAATGAGTTGAAACAATCTGATTACCTGCCATAAGGAAAGTGTAACATACCACAAACAAACAGCTGCATTGGTTTGTTTTCTGTTTGAACTTTACTACAACAGTAAAGGTATCAATCGGAGGCACACCTGGAATGTTATTGATGTCAACGTTATTTTTGAGCAGTTTTAGGACGTCAACATTGCAATCAGTGAAAGTGTATGAGAGAGGAGATGTGAGTTTGAGAACAGATAATCCTAAGAATCCAATTCCTGATCCTAATTCTAAAATATGTCTGAAAAGAGAAAGACAGAAAAGGTATCACAAAGTAAGAAAGGAAAGTTGCAGCTGGAGCAATAAAAGTTAATGTTGATATTCACTTGTTATTAAATGCTTCTTTTTGTTCAGCTGCAATCCATTCCGCCAATTCCATGCTTGCCTATAGAGTCAGTGTTAAATGATGCTAGGAATACACTAGTGCAGCACCTGCCACGTACACAACCCAGTGGTACCTCCTGATACAATGTGTCTGGACTCTTTCAATGTTACAAAAACATCACCTTCACCCTATACAAGGCACATGTGTGACATATATGTCACACATGATGTATGTGTGACATATATGTCATCTCTCTTCCCCCTCTCTCGCTCTCTCTCTTTGTACAAGGTAATATGATTTGTAACAATAGTTTCTGTCATCATCATTCAGCCCTTTGCTTATAAGACTGGTATATAGTTCATATATTTCCTCAATCAGCTCTTGATTGGAGTCTTCAACCTGTCATGAAAGGACTGCCGTTGTAAGTCCCGCTTTAAATATATATATGCTTACCAGTTTCATCCATTGTTTAAGGAACGACAGCTGGTAGTCAAGTGGCGGAGGATATTTTAACATCAAATGATGATCAAATATCTTTAAAAACAAATAATGATTACATTTCATTAATTTATACCTCATGAAATAGTCTTCTCTGTGATTGAGGCTCCGCTTCAAACCCTCCCCAGTCAATATCTTTAGTCCTAACGAGGGAGAAGAACTGAGAAATTATATTAGAATATTCACAAGTTGTTGGATTATTCATACTGCGTGGGCCTACGATGCATGGGGCGGTAGCAGCTCCTCCCGATATACCATAAACTGTGACGCCAGTAACTGTACAGTAACTGTAGTAGAGGTAGTGATAGAGCAGAAAGAACTGTGTGTGGAATAGTCTGACAACAAAGAGAAGAAAGTGGCTAGCTGTTGGTTGAACTGGTGGACAGTATCTGGCCGAGTATAGTCCGCTAAACAAGGCGAGCCCTTGGGGTGAGTTCTCGCACCTTATTTAGAACAATAGAGCAAACACTTGTGAATGGTCATTTGTACATTAACCAGGTAGTCAGCCCATTCACACTTTTATTTTCTATCCTCCTTATAATCTCTCTTTCTGTCTCCCTTTCTCTCTCAGACAGTATGTCCAAGTACATAAAGAAAGCAAGAAGCATTGCCCGTGAGACTAGTCACCAAATTCACCACGTCAGGGACGACATTACGAAAAAGCAACTGCAGAAGGAGAGAGACAAGATTCCAGCACACGCACGCGTCAACAATGCAACGTATAAATTCAGTGACATAGGGAAATGGCTCGATAAAGACCTCGACGATGAAGATGATGATTTCTTTTCGTCTCTTAACAGTCAAACAGATAGCGGCAACCAAGAGCAACTCAAGTCAGACACAGATCATCCTCAAGGATCTTCGTTGCAATCATCTTCAACGTCCCTCCCACCTCCTCCTTCCTCCATTTTCGATGATGACTTGTTTGGGGATGAAATAACTAGCGGAGATCCATTAGGACTCACTGAGTCAAAACCAGATGATTTATTTCCTGATGACAAGCAGCAAGAAGAAGACCTAGTAGTAAAGGTTAGGGAAACTGACAATACTCATTCACAGGAAACCACTTTGAACCCTATGGAGGAGGAGGAGGAGAGAGAGATACCAAATGAAAATGGTGACATTGTAAAAGATAGCACAGCCTCTGCTTTTAGTGTAGTACAAAATACAGAGTTGCCAATGACACAGGAACTAGCTACTACAAATGATTCTATGATGGAAGAAAATGCTGTAGGATTCACTGATGGTGACAAGAATGAAGAGATTGAGGAATGTGGTCTGCTGGGGAAATATTTACCTAACAAAAGGTTAGGAATTTTATCTTTCTTATATGTTCTTCCTCTTCCTCCTTAAATGTTTAATCGAATTTGTTTGTTTGCTAAATATTACTAACACTTTTTCTCTATTGTATTTAGTGATGAAGAAACTCAGCCATTTCATTCATCATCAAGTCATAACTCAGTTACTGATCCAGACCAGTCCAATAATGATGATAATGATGACACTAACATTATCATTATTGATGGTGTGACTAATGGCGACAAATCAACCACAGCAACTCAACAAGATGAAGAAACATTGATAGAAGATGATTCATTAAACACTTCTTCCTCCACTAAGTGTGAAGAAGATGACATTAATGACGAACTGTTCAAGTCTTTTACGACACCAATGGCTGCTATGAAATTACAACAACAAGAGGAGGAGGAGAGAAGCCATGATGATGATGATGATGAACTGTTTAAATCTTTCAGCATTGCTGAAGCTGATAAACTGCATAAAGAAACTAAAACTAGTACTGATCCTGCTAATGATACTGATAGTAAACCTGTTGAACCTGTTGTGCTTGGTACATTAGAAATGACAGAGGATCACCCTTTAATGCATTTAAGCGACGATTATGATGACCCATACTCAACAACAGCCACTCCCATTACAATACCGCCCCCGTCACTCACTCCTCCACTAACCTCACTCTCTCCCTCACCAAACTCACACCCACCCCCTCCTTTAATTAATAGTTCACCCGAGAACACCACCTGGTCTCCTAAAGGCTCCAAACGTCCTAGACCAGTAGTACCTCCAAGACCGGCCATGACTAATCGCTACAGTGTGGAGTCCAGTACAGCTGGAGTGTTCTCTTCTGATAGTGAGGCCAATCGATCGTTGGAATTCATACCAACTAAAAGAAAAAGAGGAGGTCTACCAATAGTGAGTATTACCAGCAAAGAGACCATGATACCGCCACTGCCTCCTCCTTCTCCACCTGCTGGAGAGAGCACAATGCCCCTCTCCCTCTCTTTGGCAACCTTTTGTCTTTATCTTTATTACACGTTAAACCCGTTTGTGTACCTGGCCGGATTTCTTGCTGGGTTCTTATTGTTTTATGTTGTGTTTGGTTCGGCTTTCGTCCTGTACGTCCAGTACTCTGAGAGAGAGAAGGAGAGACGTGCTGCCTCTAAAACCAGTAAAGATAGACTCGAGACGCTGCCTAGCTTGGACCAGCTCCCGAAAACTATTGAAGTTGATTTTGAAAAGAAAAGAGAATTGAAGGTTAGGAGTAGTGTGCTAGATACATGTAGATGTTTTAGTAGTATATTTTTTCTGCCAATTTTCATGTCCAAGTCAAACTCATTGCCCATTTCATTAATGATATACTAAGAATATTAAAATAGTATTTTTATTCTTGTAAACAATTGACTATAAGCATTACAATATTATGAGTGATGGTATATAATTGCTACATTTCTGTATTAAAAGTACAAGCTATATATAATAATTGCATGTACTGTCCGTCACACATTATTATGATGAAATTGCACTTCACAGACAAGTCACACTCACTCATGCTCATTCCTCACTAAGACACCGACTCTATATCTCAAGTTCCCATGACTTGTAGCTCTATTATATTCACTCATTGAACCTTAATGTATTGAAACAACCCACAAACTGACCTTGTTTAGTATATTTAAATAACAGTACAACACCTGTGTATTAATTGTGACCACATTCAATAAACTGTTTCTCATATAAGGCAATTGCATTTAACCAACACAAACACTTATCTATTGTTTTCCCTCTCTCTTCTTAATTCTCTCTCTCTCTCTCTGTTTTAGAGTAATGCCTTTGGTTTGGTTCATCAATATCATCCTTCCAAGCACCATCCTAGTCAAAGGCACATAACAAGAGTACGACTTTACGACGACTTTCATCTTGAGCTGCACTACAGGAAACTGATACACACGCCTCACGATGGACCTGTAACTCGTAACGACACAATCAAGAAAGATTTAAGAGAGTGTTCGATACTCCTGGTACCAGAGGAAGTTGCTCTTAACAGGAAGAGAAGGTGGAGCAAGAAGTTTCCAATATGTGTCCAGTGGCCTGATGATAGAAAAGAAGGACACGTGTTTCTATTTACGAGTACCTCACGGGAAAAGGAGGAGTGGTTTCGAAGGCTACGAGCAGCTTCTGAGAATAAATCCTACGACCAGCTGATAAAGGATTGCAGTGCATTCTACCGATACATGGGCTGCTACATGCCAGAAGGTACGGGGCAATCGCCTTTACTAGCAAGAACCAGGCCGCAATCACAGAATATACAGTCAACAGCTTCTACTAGGAATCAGAGAAAAGGCAGACAGACTCACCAGCACCACGGAGGAGCCACGGGCAACAATAAAACAGGAGGAATTGGAGCTGGTTCAAAGACTGAGTCCGTTCATTTCTCAATGTCGGCTGATTCCGAACAAGATGACGCCGATGATAGTACACTAGCTGTTAGTATTACTCAAAGAAACCAATCAACCTCACCTGCTTCCATTAGATCCGCTACTGGGACCTCCTCTCTCTCCTCTCAGAGGAATGGCTACTCTCGTCCTTCTAGTGGGGATCAAACCTCTATCCTCCTCCCCCTGAGTATTTCCATTGGTTGGATTAACGCTGGGATGGCTCGTTTAGCCTGGGACCTGTGGCACGAGGAGCGCTGGAAGAACTGGGTAACCTCTCGGATACAGCGGAAACTGATACGCATTAAAACCCCGTCATTCCTCGAGGAACTGAAAGTAACAGAAGTTACGATGGGAATGGACATGCCTATCATTAGGAAACCATTCAAACTACCCAAACTGAACCAAAACGGGATCTGGATATACCTTGAAGTCACGTACAACGGGTCTTTTACAATGACGATTGAGACAAAGTTAAAATTAGGTCCCCGGGGGGCTACCCCGGAATCAGTTCCACTCCATCAATTCAATCAGTTTCCTTCGTTAGGTGAGGGGGCAGGATATCACCACCATAAAAGGATAAGACGACACAAAGTGGGCGGAGAAGGGGAGGAGGAAGAGGAGGAGATTAGCAGCGGGTCAGATGAGGAGGGAGAGGAAGACGAAGAGAGGAGCAGCTCTTATTCTCACTCTACAGAAGAGAAGGACATGGAGTCACAGCAACAGGTATGTCCCACATTCTTAGAATGTTATTTTGATAGAGAGGAAGTGTGGAATTCACTAAATATTTGCATGTACAGCAGACATAACCTTTTATCTACATTCTATCATTGCACTCCTTCTATTGTATAACATAATCTCCACATAAAAGACACAGACTACATGTGGATGTTATTATTCACACGTGCATGTGTCTTTAAAAATTGTCTGTAATTGTGGTAGTAATTGATTTAAAGAAGGCAGGGTGGCTTGATTATGCATAGTTGTAATTAATAAATGTCTTATTGCATTAATTATAACAACAATAATTATATTTATTATAACAATTCTAGACTTTAACCCCTCATCCTGGTACTACTGATACAACTAGTGGTCCTCCAGGTCGTAAGGAAAAGATACTTAACAACATGGTGTCTCGGTTCCAGAAGATAGCGGCAAAGTCTCGCATAGTTGCCAAAGCAGCGGAGAAGGTATCCAGTTACCCACTGGTCCTCACCGT